TATTGGCCTGGAGCAAAACATACAGCTGTGCTGCCAGCTGCATGTCCTCACAAAGAGATAACAGTAGCAGCAACAATATAAAAGCTTCATTCCCTGTGGAAATCAGGCATGTTGAGGCTAATATAACACTGTTTAGACAAGCTAGTGACCTGTGAAGCCATGTATTATAACTGCGGTGGATGATATTAAGAAACACAATGCAAAGCAAACTGGAGACCAGGGTTTAGCTTTGGAGTTTATACAGTATATTCACCTTGTGTTGAGTTTGTGTTGAGTTTATATGTTCACCTTATATGTGTGTATGTTGTTTCTGAGAACATGAAGTGCTGAGAGAAGCATACTAATGGTTTAGTTGGCTTAAATGCCCATAGATACAGGACGATAATCAAACACAAGGAAATTAAAAGGTAACTAATCATTTTATTCTCTTGCACTTAATACACATACACACATGTACCCTACGAATATGCATGTGCTGGGATCTACTGGGCTACACTGGACTATAAGAATAGAACATCCAAGTTAATATACTTCTTGTTCAACTCAAGGGTTCCACAATAGTCTGCAAGATCTTCTGTACATTTACCAAGTGTATCTATTGTCCAACTGGTCACATTTGAAGTGAATAATTTCTATGATAACTTGAATATGGCCTAAGGATAGTGGCTTGTAGTACCTCTACAATCTTTTATTTTGGCAATGAATTGATGCCCATATAATGTTACCAGTCAATGATTATATGAAACATGAATTTTATACCAGACAGTAGATAAAGTACATTAGCAGGTTTGTACACTGATGCTTAAGCTTTACAGAATGTGGTACCTTCAGAGCTGGAGAACTAGGAATACTGGGTTTTATCAACCATTCTATCTGCCTTTACATTAGATAGTAAACCGGAAAGGGATAAAATTAATTGGATCGATAACTGATGTAATGTTCTACAACACATATCAAAGCTTTTGGTACGTTTTCTTTTTTTAAAATAGTAAATAGTAAAAGGTTATTAATCATCAGTACAGGAATTGGCCTGTCAAATGTATGCCCGATAACTGAGAAAAGACTTCAAGAACCAAGTTAATAGGATATGCGGGGTCCGGAGGGAACCCATACTATATGTTGATCACTGTGGGAGTTATGAGGTTGATCAGTTAATTGGAGTAATGGGGATACATATTCAAATATCCTGTGTACTAGGGTCTAGTGGGAGCTGAATGGAAAAGAGACACAGAGCAGTGAATAGATATGTAGACAGATAGAGCAGAAGAGGATAAGCAAGGATAGGGAAGGGAGTAGGGTAGCCACTCAGAAGGATAGTACACAAATCCAGTGTATTTGATATTTGTCAGCAACATTGCAATAGACTTCGGCAGCATTTAGTCCTTATATCAATCCAAGTGGATACATATTGGTCAAATTTGGAGATTTGTTTTCCTTTGCATGTGATTAGGTATTCTTTGCAAAGTAAAACTTCATCGCATTCACTAAGCTCTGGAGAATATTCCCTTGCAAAGTGAATAGCTTATTTTCCATTTGTAAATCAACCCCATGGTGCTCTGTGAATGGCCAAAGGGAGAGGAGGGTAGAAAAAGGGCACTATTACTGAAGTCTGTCAGACCCGCAGCTTTCATAGCTAGAGTGGGCTGATAATCTAGCAGGAGTTGTACTATCCGGAAAAAAGAAACGTATTGATTTTAAAATGCAGTGCAGTGATCCCACCATGTATTGCACCTGAGCAGAAGTAACATTTGTTTGCACTTCAGAACTTACTAAAATCTCTACGCCCGGAGTTGAGCTTTAAATAAAGCACTATGGGATAATGGAATATAATTCTGGTTTACGCTAATGATATTGGTTGAATAGGGCTATTCAAAACACGGGTCTGCTTAGCATTCATTCCTATAAAGTTCACAATGCACTAGAACTAATCAATTCACAAGGTGGTTGCAGTGTTGGCCTTCCATAGAAAGATGATGCCTGATGGGAGCTGCAGCACTGCTTGAGCAGAATCCAGACATCTAAGTGCTGTATTGTATGGGGACCTGCTGAATAATTATTCCACATTTAGAAGGATTTCTACTCTTATGCTGAAAGCTGTAAAACAATATAATATTAGATCTAACAAGGTAAAAACAATAAAACTGTTCTTAGTTCTTTTCCCATATTGCTGCCACCCAAAGCTTGCTGCCTGATTTCAGTGCTGTGGGCTGTACAGTGTATATATATATATATATATATATATATATATATATATATATATATACACCTGACCGAAGCCACACTACATCAATAAATCAACAGCATCAACATGAAGTGCACCTGTCATTACATGTCCTATTTAGACACATAAACACCATAATAGGGTGACCTCTGTAAGCTCTGTGAAAGACAAAGCAGATGAGCTGTTGTCTAAAACTTGCCAATTATGGAAGAAAATACTTCCATTGTGCTCAAAACAAATTTAGAACATTATTTTATACATTCTGATTAATCCAGAACGGAACTTGTGTAACTTCACCCAGGTGAAGAATTTCTGTAAATCCTGTGCAGTCATCGGGTGCCCTGGGTGATATTGTTGCTGAACATTTGATCTTCTCCCTGGTCCACTCATAATGGACAGAACGGAAAGTCATTGGTTTGGCATTTCCCTAATACTGTGCTTGTTATGGGAAAGCTTTGAGTTCACTTCCTGCTTTTGTAGAAGGAGATGAAGAGTGTAAAGAGAATGAGCAAAGCTTGTTTCCACAAATCAGCCCGGTTATTTTTATAAAGTGATGACATTGGCAGCAAGGAAAGAACTAGTAGACAAAAAGCTGTGTAATTTCTGATGTAGGCTGTAGAGTTCCACAGAAATGCCGTATGCTCCATAAGAACAATAAAAACATAGTACATTGCGATGGTGCCGTAATAGTTTTTTGTTTAAAAGCATCATTTAAAATTGCACGTACAAATTTCCCGAGGTGGGCAGATGTTGAAACTGGAGCACTTTGAGTCCAGACCCCCTGCATATGGCCAGTAGCACTTTGTTAACATGAGAATAAATCACTGAGTTAATGTGTATGTAAACTCTAGTAGTGAATTTTATCTGTTTTTTTCCTTTTTCTGTTAAATATACCATTAAGTGTTTTATTCTATCTGATCACTAAGTGCAAAAAATACTTGTTAATTCTGAGAGAAAATCCTGAGTTGATACCTCCAAGTGTTCTATGCTTCTGCTGCACTAATAATAATTTGATTGCTCCTTTGGTCTTTGTGGGCTACAAAAACACCTTTCCCTATGCTATAAAAAAAGAGGAGGAGTGTTCTGTAGTCCTAACACGCTTCCTGTCCTAGATTGACAATGCAGCTCCTTCATAAATATCGTAGAGTATAGTACAGTGAGTCAGTGTTGTCACCTTTGGACAGGAAGTGTGTTACTAGCAGGATCACCAGGTGAAGATAAGGGGAAAAGGCCTGAAAGAGAAAACTAATACAACCACCATATCTAAGGTTTGGTAAGCGCCAACATATTACACGAGGGGTGTCAAACTGGTGACCCTCCAGCTGTTGCAAAACTACAAGTCCCATCATGCCTCTGCCTTTGAGAGTCATGCTTGTAACTGTCAATCTTGCAATGCCTCATGGGACTTGTAGTTTAGCAACAGCTGGAGGGCCACCATTTTGACACCTGTGTATTACACTATTATTCTTGGGTTTCAATACACTTTCACTCCTTACTCCAGGCACAAAAAGCTTCATTTAAATATATTCCTGAATTGCTGCAAAAGGATCCACTTTGGGAGGAAAAAATGTCTTTGCAAAATTGGTTACCACCATATAAAGGTAGCAGTGGCATCATCACTTTGCTGTACATAGCCTGCACAAAGACAAAGTTTGGGGGGTTGTTTGTAATTCATAAGAGATGCCATTCAGAACGTATGTCTCCTTTTCTACATCTCAATATTTTATGACACACGCATTTGTGATCTTGGTCTGTTTTAATGCATCTACTGACTGGCAAAGTTAATTCCTACTGACAGATCCACTTAAAGTAGGATAAACCAGTTACCCACATCCTAGGTTATCTCTATTGCTGGGAACATTTCCATAGAAATGATGGACTTAGACTACAGATAAATTGGCTAGGCATTCCCTAGGAATATCCTCCTAGCTGGAGATTGCAGTGTGTAACAGCACATAGGTCAAAGGTGACAACAAGTAGTGCGTTTGACCCTTCAGCACAAAGGTGAACCTTGCCTGTTCCCAGCACTCTATCATTAGGTTGGCTGTGCCATGCATCATTACACATCGTTTGTTGATGTAACCTTGTAACACGTTTTATCTGGTTAAATGCTGTGATCCCTTCCCTTTAACTTTCAGTAAGACCTCTGTCATTTTCAGTAGTGTGCTAAAGGATTTTTTTTTAACAAAGAGTAAAAATAGATTCGCTTCTGATAATTCAAGAATTATGTCCTCTATTGCTTTTACATAAAACATTTGGTAAAAAGAAAAATTCAAAGGATCAGTTCACCCCAAGCTGTTTTTTCTGTAATGTGTGCATTCTGGGGGGCTTATTCACAATGGATTCTTTGTGTTTTAAGTGGAAATTCCATTAGCTGGTGGGTATACCATGGAATGTCTTACCAGCTGGCACTAATGATATAAGAATGGGTAGTTCACTTAGAGACAGCAATGCTAACCTGTACTCCACCATGACACCCATAAAATACTAAGCTTACCTGCAATATATTTTGGGCTAGTAAAATGCAATGATAAATATATGTATCCAAGTGTGAAAATACATAAATGCTCACTTTTGATACATTTTAATATCTACTGCTCACCAAATAGGTTCTATTATTATAAAAAACATAACTTAAGGTCAATACTAATTTGGCACTTTGCTGAGTTTGAACATCGATAACAATATTAAAGTACTTTATTGCAAAAACTCTGAGCAAATAAGTGGTCAATTATAATTTGTTTTTTTTAGAATTAAATAAAATCTTACTTTTTTAAAGGTAAACCAGGGCGCCTCAAAGGCACTCGGATCAGGCCTTGGATACTTGGAACATATCTGCCAGCTTATAGAAAAAATTGGCCAGCTTCAAGAGCATAATTTAAAGCTGCAAAAGCAAATATTTGTGTTACAAAAGGAAGATAGAATGAAACAGATGAAAGAGGTAAGAGAACCATGAATACTAATAAATTCACTAAGAAAGCTAATTACGACATTTGGTGTCATGATGTTCCATGCACTGTCCTATTGTGTTTCATTATTCGCTTATTAATTACTTACAGAGCAAATTAAGAATATTTGTTTAGCAATAATTAAAGGGAACCTGCCACAAAGCAAAATATCTGTATGAGAAGATTAGCAGAGATTTCAGATTACCTACACACAAGAAAACTTCTTTGTGTCAAGTCTTGTGATCACAAGCTTAAATGGGGAGAAGGCAGCTATATAGTAGCATTTGTGACGTCTGAATGGTATGTCATCTCCTACTCAACATATATTATTAGGACTGGCCATATATATTATGGGGACATATATTATGGGGCAAATGTCCCCCTTAACTCCAGTTGTCCCCTAATTGATCTGAGCTTTCTTACACAAGTACTTTTTTAGTGGCAGATTGCATAACAACAGCTATCACTACATGTCATTTAAGGACTATGTAACATATTTTCAGTTTTGGTTCAAGATAAGCAACACTTTTAGTCATTTTTGCCTTTACAATAACAGTAAGCCCCTTAGGGAATGGAAAAGCATATGCTAAATAATAATAATAATAATTATTATTATTATTATAATACAGGATTTATATAGCACCAACAGTTCAAGTAGCTCTTTACAACATAAGGGCAAACAGTACAGTTACAATACAATTTAAAACAGTAGGAATCAGAGGGTCCTGCTTATTGGAGCTTACAATCTAAGAGAGACAGTCAGGAGATTCAAAAGGTCATAAATGTCAGGGATGAGCTGATGGAGAAAAAAAGTAAAGTTGTTGGTTGGGAGCAGAGTAGGCCTCAATGAAGGGGAGGGTTTTCAAGGATTGCTCAAAAGGTGAAAGACTAGGAGATAATGATATATTTTTGCTCTGTGCTCAGTGTAGGCCTAGCTGCAGTGAACCTGTAAGCCAATGTGAGTTCAATAACTGTATGTTTACAGCAATAGTTTATTATGAGTAAGAACAAAGTGGTAGGTAGTAATGAGTTCTATAACTTCAGAAATTGAAAGCATTTGCATACTCCATCCTTCAGTGGCTCAGTAGCAGCATTGGAAGAATGCCATATTTTTCTGTTTCACCAGCAGTAGGCCAGGTAGTTGGTCTTACACAATGGGCAGGGGTGTATGTTCAGCGAAGCAGGAAACCTTTTTAACTAATTAGCAGTGACCCTGGGGGGCGGTTACACCTGTGGCTTGAAAGGCACTTGCCCCCTTACACCTCCAACCTTTCTATGTATCTGCCTTATGGAAAACATAGAATGTGCATAACTATTATTTATCTCATGAATTGCTTAGACTACTGGCAGGAGGTAAAGAGCAGATTGCTAAAATCCAGATAACCTTCCACATAAACATACCTCAGCTTCATAAATGTATGTTAACGTATACACTGTCAAATCATCAATCAAGACTGCCTGCTTTCCCAGAAGAGAATAAAGAAATTGGTGATGTAGAAGATCCAGGAATTCCATTAGAAGGGGCTTATATTAGGAATGCTAGCAATGTGAGCATGATATCATAACCCTGACTGGAAGGACTGAGATGTAACAGCTCACATGCCTCCTCTCTTCTTGGTGTAGGAGTACTTTGGACAGCACTGCTCCTGTGGAGCAGCGAATATTTTGCTCAGCCCGTACCAGGAGACTAAGAAGCATTTTCCTGTGAGGAGGAACCGGCCGCATAGTATGTTTGTACAAAGTGGAAACCAATCTGACCTCTCCATGATCCCAGAAATTGGCATTAACTATGAAAAGTTTGGCTACAAAGGTTGGTTTCTTATCAGTTTGTCTTCTTTAACACACCCTGATAGATTGCAACTGAACAATAGAAATAAATATGAGACCCTGTTACAGTCCACAAATGCTGGCTGCTTCATTTATACTCTGTAGTTTTTGCTGTAGTTTTGTTCAAGATGATTCTAACACCATTTACATGCACAATCATAGCCTTCTATAACCTTACATATTCTTTAAAAATTTCTGTAAAGTTTGCCATACACAAGTAAATATTTCTTCTGTGGTAACAGAGGACCCAACAACTGCAAGTACATGTAGATCTACCCAGGACATTTAAAAATGGTGTAGCAAGCTGGAAGATTTCTGATAAAGACACTGCTCAGTTTTTTAGGCTTCTGAATTAATCCTATTGCTTGTTAAACCTTACTCTACACCAGCCTTTCTCAAACGTTTTACTGTAGAGAAATCCTTGAAAATAATTTTCAGAACTAAGGAAACCCCTGGCAAAACAAATTTATCAAAGATCATTTGGAAGAATGCCCCTTACATTGGTAGTCAGCAGGAAGAATACCCCCCTATAGTGGTGGTCATGACATCTCCCTTACAGACATTTTAAAAGATCATCGGTGTAATGCCACTGGCTCTCTCAAGTGGCAATGGCCCTCAATCTATGTAGGCACCATCAGATGGGAAGTCAATCAGCCACATCTCAAGGAACCCCTAGCAAACTTTGGAGTAACCACAGGTTTCCATGGAACCCTGGCTGAGAATGACTTCTCTACAAAATTAAAAACATTAACCTGATTAATCAATGCAGAAGACAAAAATAATGTGTAAGGTGCAATAACAAATAACCACCAATGAGAATTCATATTTACTGACATGATTTCTGTAAACTGAAATCTGATTGTGTGCCAGAAATATGTGCACTTTCTACTATACAGCTACTCTTCCTGCTATACTTAATCATTGTCACACAGGCTACCATTGATGAGTTTTCCTGATAAAGCTAGTTGCCTCATGTTTTAATAATCTGAATCACTAACCTGGAACAAGTAGACCGGTAAGGACTACTTGCAACTTTTCTCCACCTTTCCTGGTCTGCATACTTGGTCTGAATCAATGAGTCAGAAAGTATTAAAGTTAATGGGTTAGTATAACAGCCAAACTCTAATGCAACGTTTATTAATATTTGTGCACACATTTATTGTTGATGTGCTGGTATACTTTTAGCATCTCTCCCATTAGAGGGTGTTTAATGCTCGTTTGTTCAGCCATTGTGTGGCCAGCGATGTACTCTGGGCATGCATCACAGGCAGTGTATGCAAAGAAAACATTTGTTGGCAGACAGGTAAAGGAGGTTTTTGACAGAAGACACATACAATGTTTTTTCTACCAAGAAACTCTACCTGCCAACATTTTTTATTTTAACATGTGGTTCCACCATTGCTGTAAAGTTCAAGACACCCCTGCTATGTTTGTTATGTGTTCCCATTCACACAGTGTAATATGTAAATATGTAGCATACTTAAAATATGTTTTTTGAATATTTATTATTTTTCTAGTTTTTTTTTTTTTTCGGTTTCAATATTTTTATTAAGAAAGTTTTGTTTTAAGAATACAACAAGCTCAAGATACGTCCACGCAGGGGCAGAGCAGAAAAATAACACATAAACAGATACATCCTGCTGACTTGTATTAGCCAAAAAAACGGAATGTCCAATGACATCAAGGAGGGACGGCAAAAAGCCAAACCAAATAATAGCAGCAGCAATCCATCATATTACCGGAGAAAGAAGAGAAAAAAAAAAGGTTAGAAGGAAGGAAAAAGAAAATATAAAAACATAGAGAAAGAAAAAAAAAGAAAGAATCAGAAAGAAAACATGGAGGAAAGGAAAACTAGAAGAATCACAGATCCAGGGCTAGCCCAGGCAACGACTATAAGAGGCCATAACTAGTAGGAGGCAGGGATGGCAAGGAATAACGTATCCAAGGTTCCCAAACCTTAAGGAATCTCAGATGAGAATCTTGAAGAACGCTAGACATCTGTTCATTGATCAACATAGCATTCATCTGGGTCTTCACCCCCTGGAAGACAACCGAAGGGGTTCTCCAAGCTTGAGCTCTAGCACGTTTGGCTGAAATAAATAGGTAGGATGCCAATTTCTGCTGAGACCTAGACAAACCCAAAATTGGGCAATGCAGGAGGGCCACCCCTGCATCCCTACGGACCGTAATATGAAATAGCATTTGCAGCAAACCAAAAACCCTAGACCAGAAGACTATCAATTGCGGGCACGACCACCAAATGTGCAAGACGTCCCCATGTAGACCACAGTTCCGGAAACACCTGTCTCCGCCAGTTATTATTATTATTATACAATATTTATAAAGCGCCAATAGTTCGCTCAGCGCTGTACATTACAAAGGGGGACAGAACAACAACAATACAATGCAAAACATGAGGGGATCGAGGGCCCTGCTCTTTCGAGCTTACAATCTAGGAGGGAGGGGATGGTGGCACAGGAGGAGATAGCTGTGGGGGATGGGGTGGTAGGAAGAGTGGAGGAGGTTGGCAAGTTAGCAGGGGGTGGGGTAGGCTTCCCTGAAGTGGTGGGTTTTCAGGGTGTGCCTAAAGTAGAGGAGAGTAGGTGATAATCTGATGGGTTGAGGCAGGGAGTTCCAGAGGATGGGTGACACCCTGGAGAAGTCCTGGAGGCGGGCATGGGAAGGAGTAGACCAGGGAACTAGAGAGAAGGAGGTCTTGTGAGGAGCGGAGTGTGCATGCTGGATGGTACTTGGATATTAGGTCAGTGATGTAGTTCGGGGCAGTATGGTGGACGGCTTTGTACGTCAGTGTTAGGATTTTGAATTTGATCCGTTGCGCAATCGGAAGCCAGTGGAGGGATTGGCAGAGGGGGGTGGCGGAAATGGAGCGGTTGGAAAGGTGAATGAGTCTGGCAGCCGTATTCAGGATTGACTGAAGCGGGGATAGCCAGCGGCGAGGCAGGCCTGTAAGGAGGGAGTTGCAGTAATCGAGTCGTGATATGATGAGGGAGTGGATGAGCTGTTTAGTGGTTTCTGGGGTTAGGAACGTGCGTATTTTGGCGATGTTGCGGAGGTGGAGTCTGCACAAGCTTGTTAAAGATTGAACTTGGGGCTGGAAGAATAGGTTGGAGTCCAGAATGACACCAAATACTCTGGCCTGCGGGGCGGGTTTGATGGTGGTGTTGTTGGATGTGATGGAGAAGTCAATGGGGGGTGGTGTCCGGGCTGGGGGGAAGACAAGAAACTCGGTTTTGGAGAGGTTCAGTTTAAGGAAGTGGAGTGACATCCAGTCTGATATGTCGCTCAGTAGGTGTGTGATTCGGGTGGAGACTGAGGTGGTGAGGTGGGGGGTTGAGATATAGATTTGTGTGTCGTTGGCATATAGGTGGTAGTTGAAGCCATGAGAGTGTATGAGTTGGCCAAGGGAGGAGGTGTAGATGGAGAAGAGAAGGGGCCCGAGGACAGAGCCTTCAGGGACCCCAACAGAGAGGGGGAGTGAGGGGGAGGTGTAGCATTATAGGTAACGCTGAAAGAGCGTTGTGACAGGTAGGATGAGAGCCAGGAGAGAGCAGAATCTCTGAGGCCAAGGGAGTGTAGTTTTTTGAGGAGGAGGGGGTGGTCGACGACTGTGTCGAAGGCCGCAGAGAGGTCAAGGAGTAGGAGCACTGAATAGTGGCCATTAGCTTTGGCGGTTAGCAGGTCGTTGGAGAGTTTGAGTATGGCAGTTTCAGTGGAGTGTAGGGGACGTAAGCCAGACTGTAGGGGATCGAGGAGGTTGTTGTCGTTGAGGTGAGAGCATAGGCGGGTGTAGACTAGGCGCTCGAGGAGTTTAGATGTAAATGGGAGCAGGGAGATGGGTCTGAGGTTGTTCGGGTCATTGGGGTCCAGGGAGGGCTTTTTAAGTATGGGGGTGATGTGTGCATGCTTCAGAGGGGAGGGGAAAGTGCCGGAGGAGAGGGAGAGATTAAAGATGTGGGTGAGGGAGTGTAGGATGGAGGGGGAGGGAGGTCGTAGGAGTTGTGAGGGGATAGGGTCGAGGGGGGGGCAGGTGGTGAGGCGGGCATCAGAGAGGATCTTGGAGACTTCCTCGATAGTAGTAAGGTCAAAGGTGCGGAGTTTGGGGGGGCTTCAGTATGAGGAATGTAGGGTGGGGTGGAAGTGGAGGTCAGAGCAGTGGTGGGGCCGTGGGAGAGGGGTGATGAGGGGGTAGCTGAGTGAGGGGGAACGGGGTTGGAGGGATTTTGAGCAGCGACGAAGTCCCTGCGGGTTATGTCGAGGGAGAGGGGGGATGAGGGGGTAGCTGCGTGAGAGGGGACGGGTTGAGAGGGCGTGTGAGTTGCGGCGATGTCCTTGCGAATTGTGTCAATCTTGTTTTTGAAGTGATTGGCAATCTCAAGGGCGGTGAGTGAGGTGCTGGGCGGGGTGGGGGTGGTGAGAGTAGAGAGTTGAAGGTGGAGAAGAGTCGGCGAGGATTGGAGGAGAGGGCCTTGATGAGGGTCAGGAAGTAGGCTTGTTTGGCTGCGTGGAGGGTGGAGGTGTAGGTGTGGAAGGCAGATTTGTAGCGGATGAAGGCTTATTGGCATTTGGTTTTGCGCCATAGTCACTCCAGGGCACGACTGTGTCGTTTGAGGGTTTTGGTGTGATCATTCTGCCAGGGCTGGAGCGGTCGGGGTCTGATGTTGCGTGTGGTTAAAGGCGCTAGTGAGTCAAGGGCTGTTGACAGCGCGTTGTTGTAGGCAGTCATAGCCAAGTCGGGGCAGGACAGGGGGAGGATGCTGTCGTGGAGTTGATCAGCTGCAGAGTGGAGCAGGGCAGGGTTAAGGTTGCGGAGGTTACGGCTGGTAGTAGTGTGACATTTGGAGGGGTAGGCATTGGAGGATGAGGAGATAGAGAAGGTAATCAGGCTGTGGTCAGAGAGAGGGAAGGGGGTGTTAGTGAGGTTGTGGGAGCGCAGAGGTTGGAGAAGACAAGATCAAGGATATTACCATCGGAGTGGGTGGTGGATTGTATGCACTGTGCAAAGGAGGAGGTTAAGTGGAGGAGATGGGATGTGGCCGGGTTGTCGAGGTTGACAGGGATGTTGAAATCCCCAAGGATGATGGTGGGTAGCTCAGAAGAGAGGAAGAAGGGTAGCCAGGAGGAAAAGTCATCCAGGAAGTGGGATATGGATCCAGGAGGCCGGTATATCACAGCAATCTTCAGGGGGGTTGGGGAGAATAGTCGGACGCAGTGGGCCTTGAAGGAGTTGGATTAAAGTGAGCAGTCCGGGCTGGGACCCAGTACCACCGCAGGAGAACTTTGTAGGCTGCCTCAAGAGTGACTGTATTGAATGAACATTTTGCCACCATCCCCCAGGCCCTGTGCCAATCTTCGACTGCAATCGAGAAACCCAGATCTCGCTCCTATTGAGATGCATAAGACAGGGGTGGTGAGGAGGACCTACTGTTAAGAGAGGCGTAAATTACAGAAATGAGACCAGGGGACCCTGGGGAATGCTGACAGAAGTGTTCAATGGGCGTTTTGCGGTAAGGATATGTAGAGATACAATGCAGGGATAGGACCCAGTGGCGCAATTGCAAATACCAATAATATTCCCGTGGCGGGACCCCCCTTGATTTTCAAAGAGACTCCCACGATGGAAACGTATGAGCGCTCAGAAAATCATGTACAATAACAAAGCCATGGGAGGTCCACCAAGAGAAAGAAGGGGGATGTTCTAGGCCTGGTGGAAATAAAGGGTTATGCGTAATCGGCAAAAGAGGTAGAAACAATGATATCAAATTACCCGAATATTTAACAGAATCCCAGGTTCATAAACTGTGAAGCATGATAGGACTCAAATCCGGAGGGCGCAACTTAGGCGGGAGCAAAAGCAATGTAGTTAAGGAAAGCGGAGCACAGTTGTGTGTGATTCCAAGAGTACCCATAACGGGATATCTGTAATCTATGAGTATAATCTCGTGCCCCTGAAAATAGGGAAAGATGAGGAAAAAAACCCTGCATATTTAGCAGAGGTCGAGGGAGACGAATATAAAGCTGAGATCCAAGCCAGAAATGCATCACCAAACCCCCATCTAGACAGCGTATATGTCAAATACTCCCAAGAAAGCGAATCAAACGCTTTATAAATTCTCAGGGATAAAAGAAACCCCAGTATCCTGCGATGATGTAAGATAAGAATGAGATGGGCTAGTTGTTTCTTTTGTGAAGGTTTATACATAGAACTCTATAGGCCACTTCTATTGCTTAGAATAGATGGCAATGTAAGGGACAACGTGAGGGAGTTTGTTTTGTGCATTAATATACAGGGGTAGATTTACTAAAACTGGTGCACTCAGAATCTGGTGCAGCTGTGCATGGCAGCCAATCAGCTTCTAACTTCAGCTTGTACAATTAAGCTTCGGCATTAAAACTAGGAAGCTGATTGGTTTCTATGCAGAGTTGCACCACATGTTGTACTCTTCAAGTTTAGTAAATAACCCCCAAGGTGTACCACCAAGTGTACCACAAATCATTGAGATCTTTACCCTTTGTTAGGACAGACAGTTCTGCACATTTATTTTACAATTGATAATGGAGAGCTGATAACATAGTTCAGACAGGGTTAATTATGGAAAACATTATTTCCCACCCTTTTCTTTAACATTACATAGAAGGAAAGAGTTAAATAAGATTCTAAGTGAGTAAAAAGCAAGTAAAAAGGTAAGCAGCAATTTTGAATACCTTTTTTAAAGTAATGCTATGTGAATGGGAACACATAACAAATATAAAGCAGACGTTATCCCAATTTGGTTGCAAAATTAGAAATACAAGATCAGTTCTGTTTTACTGCTCAGCTAATGGAGGCTGGTTGTTGTCCCCATACCTGAGTCAGGCAGTGACTTCCTTTTGCTCAAGTGCCTGTCTGACTATAATTTCACCAAGTATCTGGCCTCTGCAGTTTAACATTGACACTAGAATATACCATTCTGTAAAGTACCAGCACCAACATTTTAATAATTACTCATTTTTAATATAAAATATCTACTTTGCAGGTGTATACATGGAACCGAGATGTATCACAAGCATATGCTATTTTTTGTAAACCAGTAAAATGGTCACATTTAGTTTGGTTACGGAATCTACTGCTGTTTGTGCGTAGACCATGATTTAGGTAAAAATTAGAACATTAAGTACAGCACAATATTGTACCATTGTAACTCTCTGCGTACTGCTGTAGGAAACAACATCCAGTTAGATGGTTGGAGAAGTCCTAACATACTGGGAGTAAGGAAGCCTTTCACTAAACTAAAATGTGATGACAAAGAAAGTAAGCTTGCCTGGGACAGAAATTTCAGTGAAGTTTTCCCACCACTGGAACAAGATATGAAAAAGGTAAATAATTTTCTAAACAAATTTTATGGTGTTGCCTTACATGTTTGTATACCGGTTAATGGAGAAACAAGCTTGATTCTGGATCCATAGTAAGATCCCCCAGACATGTACAAAATCTGCTCAACCTTCATTTATGAATGGGGCTTTCGTGGACAGTGTCTGAAATACAAACTCACTGGTCCAGACTATGCCTGTATCTGGAGGTGTTAAAAAGACCATTAATTTCAAAAACAATATTCTTATAACATTATATGGCATTTAACTACATTTACATATTTCAAGTTATTACCTGTTAAAGCCTCCCTTGTGTGGACGTTCCTACACAGGGCTATGGCAAGAGGCTGTGCTAGGGAAACTTGATTTGTCAGATTTGTCAGAAACATTGAAAGTTAACAAAAAAAAGTGTTTATGATAAAGAGAAACACTGCAAGCAAGCGTTTAAAATTCTTACTTACCTAACATACTTACTGCATATACACTGTATATACACTATATTGCCAAAAGTATTGGGACACCTTCCTTTACACGCACATGAACTTTAATGACATCCCAGTCTTAGTCCATAGGGTTCAATATTGAGTTGGCCCACCCTTTGCTATAACAGCTTCAACTCTTCTGGGAAGGCTGTCCACAAGGTTTGGGAGTGTGTTTATGGGAATGTTTGACCATTCTTCCAGAAGTGCATTTGTGAGGTCAGGCAATGATGTCGAAAGAGAAGGCCTGGCTCGCAGTCTCCATTCTAATTCATCCCAAAGGTGTTCTTTTGGGATGAGGTCAGGCCAGTCAAGTTCCTCCACCCCAAACTCTCTCATCCATGTCTTTATGGACCTTGCTTTGTGCACTGGTGCACACTCATGTTAGAACAGGAAGGGGCTATCCCCAAACTGTTCCCACAAAGTTGGGAGCATGAAATTGTCCAAAATGTCTTGGTATGCTGACGCCTTAAGAGTTCCCTTCACTGGAACTAAGGAGCCAAGCCCAACCCCTGAAAAGCAACCCCACACCATAATCCCTCCTCCACCAACCTGTACACTTGGCACAATGCAGTCAGGCAAGTACCGTTCTCCTAGTAACCTCCAAACCCAGACACGTCCATCGGGTTGCCAGACAGAGAAGTGTGATTTGTCATTACAGAGAACATGTCTCCACTGCTCTAGAGTTCAGTGGCAGCGTGCTTTACTCCACTTCATCTGACGCTTTGCATTGAATTTGGCAATGTAGGGCTTGGATGCAGCTGCCATGGAAACCCATTCCATGAAGCTTTCTACCGGAGACGGACTGAAAACTCATGGGGCACCCTCGCAATAAGGGACCATGGGGTTCCTGTGTCCTCGCCCCACACTCAAACCACACCCAAAAAAGCCTATGAAAGGTACCGGGGCATCTCATGGGGCCCCCTACTGATCCTGGGCCCTAGGGCAGTGCCCAAGTGCTTGAATGGTCAGTCCGCCCCTGCTCTCTATGCACTGTTGTTGTGCTAATCTGAAGGCCACATGAAATTTGGAGATCCTTAGCTATTGTCTCTGCAGACAACTGGCGACTTCTGTACACTGTACGCTTCAGCATGCACTGACTCTGCTCTGTCATTTTACGTGGCCTACCACTTCTTGGCTGAGTTGCTGTTCCCAGTTGCTTCCATTGTTATAATACCACTAACAACTGACCATGGAATATTTAGTAGCAAGGAAATTTCACAGATGGACTTATTGTACAAGTAACAACCTCTCACGGTACCACGCTTGCATTCCCTGAGTTCCTGAGAGGGACCCATTCTTTCACAAATCTTTGTAGAAGCAGTCTGCATGCCTAGGTGCTTGATTTTATACACCTGTGGCAATGGAGGTGATTGGAACACCTGAAACCAATGATTTAGAGAAGCGTCCCAATACTTTTGGCAATATAGTATATGTGTATATGCATATATGTGTGTGTGTGTATATATATATATATATATATATATATATATATAATGTTAAAGCTTATTTCAACTTTGATATCTTACCTTCTTAAATGATGATGATGTTATATGCTTGACCATAGCCACTCAAATCTCTAAGAACAATGAGTGTTGACAAATCTGAGCCTCAAAGTGCTGGCTTGATGGGATCAACACTAATCTTCTTCTCTTGTGTGTGATATCATGCAATTCTGATGCTTGGCCAAGGTCATTAGTGCTGTGTTGTTAACCCCTACATAGTCCAATTATCAAAAGCAATGCTCAAAACTAGTTTATCACTTTCAAATAAACCCAAAACCCTAACACATTTCGTTGTTCTAACATCTGCAAAGGAAAATAAAATGATACTACGAAATGATGCATTTAGAACAGGATGACATCTGGAACTGGAACTGTATTTTTAGATAAAACAACACACAGCTGGATAAATAGTCTTTGAAGTGACTTTCTCAAATGGGTCTAACAGCATTCTGGAACTGGGATGTGTATGCAGCTGATGTTTTAAGTTTGTCCTCCAAAAAGCTTTTATGGGATTTTAATCCTCACATTCCAAGATCTACAATACATGACTATCAAATACTGTATTTGCAATTAAATCAACTCATTGATTAAGGCCTTGCATCTGGTTTTAGCCTGCTGTCCTAAGAGATGTTTTTTTTTAAGGAATCTAAATATCAGCAGCAATATTACTGTATCAAATAGAATCTGTCCACAGGAGCTTATAGGCATCAGCTGCAGAATGAAAAATTGGAGTGTGACAAAAATCACTCAAGAAATACAAATTGCCTGATTCTTACAACAACATCTGCTGACTGTATATTAGGGTAGCCATAAACAAACAAATCCCTCATCAGTTTCAACTAAAGTGATGGATGTGTCCATTCCTATAACAACTAACTACCCTTATCTCCTGACTCATGCCATTTTCCCATCTGCTTTCTTTTCTACCTTTTTTCCTTGGTAATATTCCTTTATGAGTTGCAAAGAAATATGGGCATGTTGGAAAATCTCTGACAAACTTCAGGCATTGTCACACCCAAGCACCCTTTGCTCAGCTGCTGCAAAATTTCATCATTTATTAAAACAGGCTCAATTTATAAAAAAAAACAGTTTAATGTAGCAAGTTACCTGTAGCAAACTACTGTACTTTTAATTTTTGTGTTCCGTGACGATCTGAGCCAGAAGTTCGGCTCCCCCTCCTTTCCCAGCATCTTCTGGAACTGCGGGACCATTCACAAAGCGCAGCACGCATCGCGCATGCGTAGTAGAAAATCAACTGTGAAGCTGCAAGGCTTTACTGCCAGTTTCCCTTACTTAAGATGCCATCCCCTGCAACCAAAGCTGATTGAAGAATCGGCTCGGGTGAGGACATCGCTGGATCCCTGAACAGGTAAATGTTTTTAAATTAAAAGTCAGCAGCTACAGGATTTGTAGTTGCTGACTTCTAATTTTTTGGGGGGAGTCTGGAGCTCTGCTTTAAGGTCTAAGCAGCAGCCAGTAGGTATGTACACATATCTGAAGGGTCAGCTCACCTAAAAATGATATTGTACTCATAGGTGGTGCCTGGTATTTTATGTAGTTTAAAGGTGAAGTTCACCTTTTCCAGATAATAGCCTATGCAAAAGGCCCTGGTAGATAGTAAAAACTGCAGCTTTGTAAAATGATTATTCATTTTTTGTCATACCTGAAGTCAATTTGAGCCTCCTTGGAAGTCTAGCTGAAAAACTCCCATTTAGCAATATCTACATCCTGCCTTGTTGCTAGAATGTGAGAACCATAGGACGTTTGTTCCCAACTGTACAGGAGCAAAATCCAACAGTTTTCACATCTTAACAACAATAAGACAGGAGGATTGTTAACTGGGAGTTTTTCAGCCAGGCTTCCAAGGGGTTCCAAATGGCCTACAGGTATAGCAATAAAATTAATGAACATCTTACAAAGCTGTGCAGTTTTTTTAACATCTACTGAGGCCCCTTGACTGCATAGGCTATTTTCTGGAAAAAGTGAAACTGGCCCTTAAATACTCCAAGAGCAAACAGTCCCTAGCATAGGTCCCTACTTGTCTCCTGCCCACCTTGGAGTTTTGAGTGTTCCCACTCATCTCTTGTACTGCCTGCTACACTCTATAATATAAAATACATACAAAATCAAGAAGAAAATGAAAAAAGCGGCACAGAAAGTGTGCAGAACCAAGAACTCAAGCCCAGATCTCACCAGTAGAACCACAAGAAATATAAGAAACTGTCACTGTTTTTAACTCCCCAGCATATACCAAAAAACTGAAATATCAGTTTGAGTGGGTGATTCTTTAATAAATTATACTAACATTAATGAAAAAGAAGTGCAAGGGTTGTCATCCATGGTTTCTGACTAAAGGAATGTGTCTTTCTCCCTACTGCAAGTTTAGACATTCCTCCATTATGTCACAACATGCCTAAACCTGCAGTATTTGCTTTTCAACTCAGCTCGAATTCTCTGGCAGGATTAGCCTGTTCGCCCTGGATGAATGTTATAGAGGGTCAGGTCTGAACTAAAGGCAAAATATCCTGTATCACTGCATCATGTGAAACCAAATATAGTTATCTGTATTGTAAAAGATGTAAGACTGTTCTATATAAACTCCAAAGTCAAAGTTATGTCAAATGCTGTGTGATCAGATACATACAACATAACAGATACAAACTATGAGGCTTACTGAAAAAGGTGAGGATGTTGGAGTAACATCTGTTTTTGATTGTTAGCTGGATATCCATCCATGGGGACGTGTCCGAGATCTTCTTAAAAAGACTAAAAAGAATCAGAATAAATTAGGATTATCCTCAGCATCATTGAAGAGATCCTGTCCTCAGCTCTACAGGTAACCTGAAATAACACATTTCCATATCTACACTGCCCTTTTCTACCATTAAGACTAAGCCAAGCAGTTTTGTTAATACACTCCCCACATGGAAGAAAAATATATTTGAAAATATATTTTTTAAATATTCTTCCCAAATATATTGATATATTTGAAATGCTATTTTGGCCATATTCAATATATTTAAAAATATATTTCAATAAATAAAAAAAAAATTTAAAAAAAAAAAAAAAAAATATATATATATATATATATATATATATATATATATACACACACTGCATGTTGAAATGCATTTTTTATATATTACAAAATATACGAAAAATATTTTTTACAATTTTTTTTTAAATATATTCTTCAGATTTTTTTAACATATAAAGAAGTCATTTTAACATATATTTTTACATATATTTGTAAATGCATTCCAAAAATGTAGATTTGTATTTGTAAAGACATACGGTATATTTGAAAATGTATTTTTAAAAATATTTTTCATATTTTTTGTAATAAAAATGCATTTCAACATATGGTATATACAGTCAGGTCCATAAATATTGGGACATCGACACAATTTTAACATTTTTGGCTCTATACACCACCACAATGGATTTGAAATGAAACGAACAAGATGTGCTTTAACTGCAGACTGTCAGCTTTAATTTGAGGGTATTTACATTAAATTAGGAGAAGGGTGTAGGAATTAGAACAGTTTGCATATGTGCTTCCCACTTGTTAAGGGATCAAAAGTAATGGGACAGAATAATAATCATAAATCAAACTTTCACTTTTTAATACTTGGTTGCAAATCCTTTGCAGTCAATTACAGGCTGAAGTCTGGAACGCATAGACATCACCAGACACTGGGTTTCATCCCTGGTGATGCTCTGCCAGGCCTCTACTGCAACTGTCTTCAGTTCCTGCTTGTTCTTGGGGCATTTTCCCTTCAGATTTGTCTTCAGCAAGTGAAATGCATGCTCAATCGGATTCAGGTCAGGTGATTGACTTGGCCATTGCATAACATTCCACTTCTTTCCTTTAAAAAACTCTTTGGTTGCTTTTGCAGTATGCTTTGGGTCATTGTCCATCTGCACTGTGAAGCGGCGTCCAATGAGTTCTGAAGCATTAGGCTGAATATGAGCAGATAATATTGCCCGCAACACTTCAGAATTCATCCTGCTGCTTTTGTCAGCAGTCACATCATCAATAAATACAAGAGAACCAGTTCCATTGGCAGCCATACATGCCCACGCCATGACACTACTACCACCACCATGCTTCACTGATGAGGTGGTATGCTTTGGATCATGAGCAGTTCCTTTCCTTCTCCATACTCTTCTCTTCCCATCACTCTGGTACAAGTTGATCTTGGTCTCATCTGTCCATAGGATGTTGTTCCAGAACTGTGAAGGGTTTTTTAGATGTCGTTTGGCAAACTCTAATCTGGCCTTCCTGTTTTTGAGGCTCACCAATGGTTTACATCTTGTGGTGAACCCTCTGTATTCACTCTGGTGAAGTCTTCTCTTGATTTTTGACTTTGACACACATACACCTACCTCCTGGAGAGTGTTCTTGATCTGGCCAACTGTTGTGAAGGGTGTTTTCTTCACCAGGGAAAGAATTCTTCAGTCATCCACTACAGTTGTTTTCTGTGGTCTTCCGGGTCTTTTGGTGTTGCTGAGCTCACCGGTGCGTTCCTTCTTTTTAAGAATGTTCCAAACAGTTTTTTTTGGCCACTCCTAATGTTTTTGCTATCTCTCTGATGGGTTTGTTTTGTTTTTTCAGCCTAATGATGGCTTGCTTCACTGATAGTGACAGGTCTTTGGATCTCATCTTGAGAGTTGACAGCAACATATTCCAAATGCAAAAAGCACACTTGAAATGAACTCTGGACCTTTTATCTGCTCAATGTAATTGGGATAATGAGGGAATAACACACACCTGGCCATGTAACAGCTGAGAAGCCAATTGTCCCATTACTTTTGGTCCCTTAACAAGTGGGAGGCACATATGCAAACTGTTGTAATTCCTACACCGTTCACCTGATTTGGATGTAAATACCCTCAAATTAAAGCTGACAGTCTGTAGTTAAAGCACATCTTGTTTGTTTCATTTCAAATCCATTGTGGTGGTGTATAGAGCCATAAATGTTAGAATTGTGTTGATCTCCCAATATTTATGGACCTAACTGTACATGTATGTTTATTGAGATATATTTTGAAATATATTGAACATGGCCAAAATTGTAGTATTTCAAATATATGTACATATGTTTGTGAAGAATATTTTTAAAATATATTTCAAATATATTTTTCTTCCATATGGGTCCCCGGTTGAGCATTTTGCCCAAGGACTGGATGATTATACCTGCATCTCTAACTGTCCTATGAAGCTTAAAGCGGAGTTCCACTCAAAAGCGGAATCTCCGCTTATTTGCTTCCTCCCCCCCTCCACTGCCATATTCGGCCCCTTTTAGGGGGGAGCAGGTACCCGCTCCCACTTCTGGCTCAGTTCGCCACGGTGAAGTGAGCCAGAAGTTCAGCAATCTCCTGGAAAGTTTCACAGGTCCCAGAATACTGCTGGATCAATTAGGAGGTGCAGCGTGACTCACGCATGCGCAGTGGGCACCAGGCTGTGAAGCTGCAAGCTGTCACAGCCTGGTGCCCACAGTTGAGATGCTGTGGAGGCCAAAAGGGGAGAAGGGATGGTGTGGGTGAGAACACTGGACTCTGGGACAGCTAAGTGTGTGTTTATTAAAATTCAGTAGCTACAGTTTTTGTAGCTGCTGACTTTTAATAACTACAAAAAGGGCTGGAACTCCACTTTAAGTTCCACTTAAAGCAAACCTGTAGCCAGCAAGATAACTTAATGACAAATGCACAGTTAGGTATCAATGTACTTTATATTATACATTCCATAAAAATCAGCACATATGAGACCTTGGTAACTGTGCTCTGGGGCTGCCATATTAGATTTCAGTAGTGTCCAAAAAGTAAAAGCTAATTCATTTAACAACATATTAGAAAAACTATTTACTTAAAATTAGAGAAGCTGATTTTTTGCAGGACAGTATGGTTTTCACAAGTGAAGCATTGTTTGAAAGGTATTTTCATGTGCATTAATGAAATAATGCTATTTTACTTATCAGTACTTGGGCGGCCATTGATTTACATTAAGGTTCCAGGTCAGCCTATCTGTTGTTGATATTTTAAGAAAGCCTCATAATTACTCCTGTATTTTTCATTCATTTTACTATAAAGGGAGGAAAGGAGGATCATTTCCATTGTTTATTTACATAATCACTTAATCATGAGATGACAGTTTCTTGTTTTTTTTCTGCTGGATTGGGTGAATATCTTGAGCTGAAGGACCCCTAGAAGAAGGAGGAAGAGTTAATTAGGCAGGTTTTTCATGAAATTGGCAGCATCTATCAGTGTCTGATGACGCTGCTCATTTCCTCCCCTCTACACTGACATAAACATACATCTTTTTTACAAGTCGGATCCTTGTGTTTGTAGACCTGCCAGGCAGGGGTGATGTCTGAGGGTAGTCAACTTGTGTATGCAGTCTATAAGGAGCTTTAGCATAAGCGCTCCTATCATGTCATCAAAGTTACTGTATATCTAAACATTTTCTTTAGCTCCAGCTCATACACTCCCCTTCAGCCAGTTGACCTCCAAAGGCTTTTGCTCTCACTGAAATGGAAAGTAGTCACCTGTTCCACTAAAGAATGGATAACCCATTGTGTGACTCTAAAGTCTGCTACACATGAATCGAGATTTGGGTGGTTAAGCAGGGAGCGGCCCAGATTCCAACCATGTATAGGTAGGCTGATTGTAACCAAGTCAATCCATTGTTCTACCAGTTGGGAAGGCTCTTCCCAACACAGTAGTGCCACAGGAGTGCCACGGGAGGCATTCCCCCATCAAAATGAGAGAAAATTGAGTCATCTATGACTAGTATAAGAGGAGGCTGTGACAGTCTGGCCAACCACATTACAGTTTTGCCAAACACAAAGAATTTGAGCTAAAGGTAAAGACTGGTATTTTGTCACCTTTTGCCAACCATTTTTTTTAGGTACGAAAGAAATGTCCAATTTACATTACTTTTTTAAATGTAATTTATTACTTTAATCAATTAAAATGTGCAGTATTTCTAACCAGAGTAGTTCTTAAACACCATCTAAAATTTACTTTTACATAAACTTTGAACGGTGTGATGTTATAAACAACATTTAACAGACAAAAATAGCCAGGAAAGTATAAATGACATTTTGTATATTGTGCATGAGGAAATAGTCTATATTCTCCAAACACATCTATAATGTCACATTTACAGCTGGAAGAAACATCTGAATTTCCTTTCATTGTTCTGTGTTAAAGAAATCCCAGACAGAAGCATGTCCAGTGCACTTCCTTATGTTTTTGTTTAAACATGCCTTTTTAAGACCTTAACTGTTCATTTGACCCCACTTAGTTAACTCACACTTGACAGAAAAAGACTTTTATAACTCTGCCTCATAATGTTTTATTGCTTTGCCTTCAGCTAAAGAAAATCATTTCCTTACTGGCAAGCTTATCAAAGAAATATGGTGTATTGATTTAATTATCTTATCTATCTTGGATGGAAGCTTACCCAGGCAATAGCTATTAGAATCCTCTGAACTCCAGGCAAAAAACTTTTTTTTTTTTCATTTTGAATAGAGCGATGGAGGGTTATAACCCCTGTAAGGTTTTATTTCGCCATCTGCATCCCATTGCAGAGATCTTCCTTCATTTCCTGTCCTTTAGCCAATCAGGAAATGAAAGGAAATCACTGAAAATGAAGGGAATTCCTTGGGGACCCCCAGGTCACCAGAAGTAGTGTCCCCATTAGAAGATTTCCCCTCTATTACTTTTCTGGGGACAACCCATAATTTGGAATTTTTTTAACTTTCACTTTCAATGATAATGGTAACAGGACAAATAGAAAGGATGAATCTCCTTAATGGGGGGCACAGACAGCAATAAAAACTGACACGCTTCTAATCCCTCTCTACTCTATCAAAAACTGGAAAAAAAATGCCTTTAGTTATACTTTCAGGACACAAATTACTGCTGAACTGGGCTTTTTAATTCTTCATTAAATAAAAAGAGATAAAACATGTAAGTGTCACTTAAAGCTGAAGTTTAGTAAAAAATGATTTTCAGTCTGACAGCTTTAATGACCTAATTTACCTGTATTTAAGCATGTCCCATATTGTGCAGACAATTGGATCCTAGAAAAATCTTCATTGCAGGGATGGTGGTCTTCATCATTTCTCTGAATTTACAGCACTGTAATGGTTAGTAACTCTGTGTCTCTCCAGACTGAATTCAATAGAGAAAGCTTCTAATGGGAACCTGCTACCTCTCCTCCTCCTCCATTGACAAAGGTTCTTTCATTGTTTTCAAGTTGGGTGAATGACTGAATTCTCTTCTTTTATGCACCTATTGTTTTAGGCTGGGTACAAACTGGCTGAAAAACCCACGGCCAATGGCTGCGAGTACTGATCAGTGTATTCTGGTGGGGGGAAGGGGCAGATCTTATTTGTTATTCAGCCCACTGGGTGTGTACCAGGCTTTACATGCAGCAATGCAACAAAATAACTTTTCTCAATGGAGGAAGGGGCTGGTCCCCATCGGGAGCTTTTTCAATTGAATTCAGCCTGAAGATCCCAAGCTATCTTTGAATAGATCGCTGTGCAGGAGGTTCAGAACCAGGAGGGGAACTGGCATCCTTGCATTGAGATTTCTCCAGGATCCAGCTGCTTGCACATCGTGGAACATACCTAATTGCAAGGAAGTTAGGGCGTTAAAGCTGTAGGGACTAAAAATCCTTTTAGGAAAACTTCACATTTAACTTCAGCAGATTAAAACTAGGTCTGCACAGTGCCCTGAGCTATGTGTCAAAGATATAAAAACTCTCAGGACTAAAAAGACAGAAATCCTTTGCCAGGTAAAAACAGCCTGCTGATATGTATTTCATGTATGTATTTAGCTGTTTGTCTAGAATTGAGCCTGAAAGAAAACTCAATATCTTAATAACCCCGGTACCTAATCCACTGCCAGCAAGCTTCTGTGCAGTCCACTCATAAGACCATAATCAGTTTCCGCATATCCCAGTATGTCTCTGACTTATAAATACTTCTTACTACTTAGAATTAGAATGGCATGCAGGATCATCAATATTTTCTGTGCTTTCATCCAAGGAAACCTCTATAACTTATATATACTGATCCTACAGAATCACTATTCCTCTACAGTGCTATAATCCCACTATATACTTGTTTCCATAGGCCAGATCTCGTGCAAAATGATATTAAAAAGAAGAGACAGAAATTCAATGATTGTCCTTGGACAGACTGTCAGCAGAGAAAATGCTTGGGCCAGTTTGTATGCCTTAAACAGGTAAATCTTTTTCTGTTATAGTGGTAGTTATTGTTTCTAACTGAAAGGGTGTTGCAGGGATTACATTAGTTGACAGGCAGCTGTTCAGGGCACAAATGTGATGGGATGCAGTTTGGGAAAAGATCAATTATTTAAAAATGTCTTAACATGTAAGTTTACATTTAACAAAACATTTGTCCTCCATGCCAAACACCTTCCACATTAGCATGAGAAGTAATTTATCTACCCCCTGCACAGGTACACTACCATGCTGACTGTTTACATGCTATAGTTTCAGCTTTCTTTGTACCATTTACACTTGTCTACATACTCCAAAGTTCACAAATACACACTATGCATCCATAGACAGTCAAAGCCATGGAAATAATCCATAGAATCAGCGATCGTAGTCAAGCTATGTATAGTGGCAAAATCTGCTGTAAAGACTAGGCACAATACCTAAAATGAGTAAGAAAACAATGCCATTGTTTTTTTTTTAGAATTTAGGGAATGATGCATAGAAAAAAAAAAAATCGCAGGTATAGGTAATCATTTTGACATAAATTATGCTACTGGTCATGCTAAAACCCTGGTAGCCCAGCTGCAGCCCTAGGGTCACATGCAGCCCTATGGTACTTTTTGTGCAGCCCTCCACCCCAGCAGCCAGTAGTGGAAGCATTGATTTGTAAAGGAGTAATATCAGTGATCTCTTCTAGGCTCATATACCAGTCTCCAGTCTCTCATAGTTTTCTACAGCATTTCTCCAGTCTTCGACTTCACCTTTAGCATGTCCAGAGTCTCTGATCATCCCCCTCTAGCAGGGGCGGACTGACAACTCATGGGGCCCCCGGGCAATAGGGGATCATGGGGCCCCTGTGTCCTTGCCCAAACTCAAAAAAGCCTATGAAAAAGGTACCAGGGGCATCTCATGGGGCCCCCTACTAACCCCGGGCCCTCGGGCAGTGCCCGAGTTTCCAAATGGTCAGTCCGCCCCTGCCCTCTAGTATGTCAGCAGTCTCTGACAGTCGTGATTATATTACATATACTGAACATTATATGCGCCCCTGAACCGCTGTGCTACAGAAATCTCAACATAGACCAAAACTACTATTTATATAAAGTGCAATCTGCAATGAAACCTTTTGAGGGAATTGGTAGATAGCACTTTTTTAATATGTTTATTATTTACAGTGTGAAAAAATTGTATGTATATTTGATTTGTTGCTTTTTTTTTCTTTAGGAAAGATGATGATATGTGAAGATTCAGTTGGTAAACAGAAAGAAACAAAAGACAGAAAAAGAATGTACAGGAAGGTTTGATTGTATTTTGTAGGTCTGTAGAATGTATGTAACAAGGTTAGTGATGAGAGAAAATTATATTGTAAAATTATGCTGGCCTGTTGAAATAATTATATTTGTACATTACATCAAACTTGCTATCTGTTTGCTCCTATGAAAGTCTTACTATTTATTACCTATAGCCCCTATTTTAGGAGAAACACAAAATTTGCAGCATTCAATAATAATCAGTTAAAGAATAGTTGCAACTAACATGCTTGTGATTTGGCTTGGGAAATCACACACTGATTTTTAATTACTCCTTGAATAGTTCTTAGTAATTAGATCCATACTGTAGTGTCATCAGCTGCCATGCAGCTGCCAGATCCATACTGTAGTGTCATCAGCTGCCAGATCCATACTGTAGTGTCATCAGCTGCCATTCAGCTGCCAGATCCATACTGTAGTGTCATCAGCTGCCATTCAGCTGCCAGATCCATACTGTAGTGTCATCAGCTGCCATTCAGCTGCCAGATCCATACTGTAGTGTCATCAGCTGCCAGATCCATACTGTAGTGTCATCAGCTGCCATTCAGCTGCCAGATCCATACTGTAGTGTCATCAGCTGCCATTCAGCTGCCAGATCCATACTGTAGTGTCATCAGCTGCCATTCAGCTGCCAGATCCATACTGTAGTGTCATCAGCTGCCATTCAGCTCACATCTGATTCAGTTAGAACACAGGAGTCATAACATCACTCCTTCAGCATTCTACTGGCGTGAAAGAACGAAAGGGTGAACCCCTGTGTTCTTATTGAATTAAGAGTAGACACTATCTGAGGTAATGGAAAAGGTAGGTGTGTGGTTTAACAAATATTTACAGTATATTTAATTCATAATTGGATTTTTACCGAGTGACATATCAAGAGTCATTGAAGAGAATTTCATCAAAAAAAGGACCAAATGATTTGACATGCATAGCTAAACTTGCTCTATTTTATAGCACAGGATGCACTTTCACTATATCAAATATATATGTACATACCTGTTGCAACATTCTACCACTCCTCCAAATGAATTTAAATATATAAAAACACTGGCTTTGGTGACCTTAGTACTCCATAATACCGTACTTTAATGTAAAATCTAAAAAAAAAAAAACTAAACTTTATATTTATGCATGCAGCACTTAAAAATGATCAAAATGAATACATACTGTATATTTAAAAAAGCAAATGTAAAATATATGCACAAGAAAATGACAATTTTATGTGGTCACTGCAGCATTACTGTATTTTTATAGTGCTTCATGCTACTTTGATTTTTTTCAAATATTTGCATACATTCATTCAGCCAATTTTCCTGCCAAAACCCAGCCTAAAAACCTCTGCATATACTGTATTGGGTAAAAGCACATCTATCTTGTCAAGTCTTGACCCTCTCAAGGTGTGACATTTCTGACAGTTTTACCAGACAAGGTCATGATGATTGGATGACCCAATGAAACATCTGGGTGAGGATCAGGCTTTAGAAGACTTCCGGATGGGTGGCAAGTTGCAAGCTTCTCAGCACCAGAGGAACTCACTGGGGTTGATTTATTAAAGGAGTACAACATGAATTTTTGCTTAGCTTAGTGAATTAAGTAAAGCTGTGCTGATGTCTATCATTCAATCATATGGAAGCAAAAAACATTGTTTTACATTTTCTTGCAGTGTTAATTTTCACTTCGATTTCAATAAACGAACTGAAAATTTACTTTGCAAAGTAAAAATTCATTTTACAAGGGATTTAGAAAAAGGAATGTTTTAATACTGAGGGTCCTAAAAACGTTTTCAGTAAATCACTCTCCCTGACTCCATGTTAAGCACCACTGGTCGGGTCCATATTTTGTGGTAAAACACCACTTACAGTATATTTACAATTTTCCATCCAGCATTGCTTTTAAATTCTTTTTATTGTATTTTCAAAATGTTTCAGCCATTTGATTTATCCTTTTTCAAATTAGCTGCGGCTTAATGCTTGGATAAACAGTGTCTTGCAAAAGGTGAAATGAAACCAACATCTCCATTTGTACCCTTTTCTGTTTTTGTGTGTCATCTTTTATGTGCACTGTTTAACTAAACTTCCCACAATTATGGTTTGCATTTTTGTTATACTGTACATAGCACTTTGATTTATAGAAACGAATAAACTGTACATTAAAAAAAAGTATTGTTTAGTATGTAAATAGCTGAACTATGCCAGGGGACTGTATGAAGATGTATGGAATAAAACTCTGTGAAATGAATAGGTTGCAGTTGAGTTGATCCACATATATTGAATTCACTTGTTGCTAATCTTAATAAAAATAACAATTTAGTGTCACTTTTGTTGTAAATAAAATCACCAGTAAAAAAATAATTGCTGGTATTAAAACATGTTCACAATGATAGTAAATATATGCTTTGAAAAAAGTAATCATTTGAGTTTGTCTATAATCCAGTATTCAGGTATAAAAACAAGGTGGCCCTGCCTCCCTTGTTTGCTTGCTCAAGTATGGGCTTCAGAGATCTATAGATGCACATATCTCTGCTCTGTATCGCCTTCCTTCTGTTAACTAGAATGATGATGGGAGCTGATAGATAGGGCAGCACATACTAGTTAATAAAGCCACCCAGAGACATCAATACATATAGGTACAGTATACAGTATAAGCATTTTTATAATTTCCAGTTGAACTGGACAGTGTACACAATAAGTGGGTATCCTCAAAAATCCAGTCAGCTGATTTAATGATTTTTTTTGCCTACAGAAGAGGCTTCCTCAAAAACCAGTAATTTGTATATGGTATGGGCAGCACAGTGGCTAAATGGTTAGCACTTCCGCCTGGCAGTACTAGGGTCGTTGGTTTGAATCCCAGCCATGACACCACCTGCCTGGAGTTTGCATGTTCTCCCTGTGCCTGCGTAGGTTTTTTCCGGGTACTCCGGTTTCCTCCCACACTCCAAAGACATGCTGGTAGGTGAATTGGTTCCTGTCCAAATTGGCCCTAGTATGTGTATGAATGTGAGTTAGGGACCTTAGATTGTACGCCCCTTGAGGGTTAGGGACTGATGTGAATGTACAATATATATATGTAAAGCGTTGCGTAAATTGACGGTGCTATATAAGTACCTGGAATAAATAAATAAATATATGTCACACAAAGGATACATATTGTAGTTGAAAGAAACTAAAACTATGCCAATGACGATACATGGAGATCGGATGTGCGGGCACAGTCTGATCACCTGATGATTTATTGATATAATTTTTTCAGACAGTACATAAACACGCATGCCGGGGTCACCCATACTTGCATGTCTTTGCTTAGAGAGGCTGTGTTGAGGGAGCATGTGAGACCTGTAGTGCTAGCTTTCAACAGGATTGGTCATAGATTACCTGTTGTCTATGACTGATGTTAAACTCAGGCCCATCTATGTAATACCACCTATTAAACTTGGGCTCCTTCTAGGATCAGATGAGAGAAATAAAATTTTAAAAGAGAATACATTTACATTTAGACTGTTTAAAAACCTGTCTATAAAATCCTTGCTTCCTGCAGCCAAAAGCTTGCACTGGAGTAACGTTCTGGGATGAACTGGAAATGTATTTTACTTGTAAAGTGTAAATAACATATTGCATCTTTTTTTCTTTGCTGCAAATCTGTCAGTTTTGTAAGACTGAAAAGATTGTTTACTCTGATTATTCTGTGAATAGTGTATCTTTGCTGGTTCAAAAACTGTTCAAAATGCCTTTGTTTCATACTCAGATTCCATATGTATAATTTTTATAAAATTACTCATCTGTTTATACATGTATTCAAATATTATGCAACTTGTATATTTATAAAAGTATCATCTTTGTATTTTTACAAAATGTAAAAATGTGAAATGCTCAATAAACTTCTACAAATAATATGCTGTGTTACCTTTTATTATATTTTGGCTCATATAAAGATTTTTCATTTGCATGGAAATGCCTGTTAATTATATGTCTTTAAACAGGAAAGCATTATTGTGTTTTAAAAACTTTAGACTGCACCTGATTTTATATTTTCAGTGTGAACCAACCTTAAGGCTAGGTTCACATCTGTGCGGGTGGTGCCGCTGTGGATCAGCACAAAAATCCGTGCAGCCGCACCACCCGCACAGAGGAATGCGGACCCGCATTCTAATGGCACGGCGCCACACTGGAAATAGCAACCGATTCCAGTGCGGGCTGAGTTTTCCAAAGAAGTGCAGGGACTTTTTTCCTGCGTGTCCCAGGGCGCGGGAGTCCATTCAAAAGAATGGGCTCTCGTGCCACACAAAACACGGCCCACACGGCTGCAGATATTTGAACCGGGGGTTAAAGGCAGCTGTCAGGTGAAAGCAAACAGTGAGCTGCTAATGATATCAAATAATTACTGCAATCTTGCCAAAATATAAAATAGTGCACTCCATTTACCTTATTTGAGCTCTGTGTAATCCTCTGCAGTAAAATTACAGAGAGCATCTCACTGGCGTAAAGTGATACTAAAAGTCTGTTTGTTTTCTTACAAATAACAAACATGTTATACTTACCTGCTCTGTGCAGTGGCTTTGCACAGAGCAATTCAGATCATCTTCTTCTCGGGTCCCCCGCTGGTGCATCTGGCTTGCTATGGGGGCACCTGAGCAGGCACGCTGCTGAGCTGTGGCTCTGAATGTCCATTCACACATAGAGCCGTGGCTCAACCCTGCCTCCTCCCTCTCCTGATTGGCTCACTGGCTGTGATTGACAGCTGCCTCAACATATCAGAAGTGAGAATCCTTTGAGAACTGAGGCTCTCGTAGACATCACTGGATCAAGAGGGGGCTCAGGTAAGTGTTAGGAGGGCTGGGGGGGGGGGGGCTGCTACATACAGAAGTTTGTTTATCTTCATACATAGAATAAATGAAAGTAAAAAACATTGAGATTATAGAACCATTTTAATAATAGGG